TTTTCGTGTTTTGACATGACAGGAGCTGTTTCGCTGTAGAAAACTCCCCTCGATATCCCCAATCGCCTCTTTCCCCTCCACCTTTCTCTCCAGGAGGCTGTCCTGGATTCGTCTATGCGCCGCATCAAGCCAAACATTTGCTGTGCCCAATCTATGTTAGTGCTGTTGAGTGACCCCTAAACAAATACTTGTGAATTCAATATTTAAAATGGAGCATTTAATCAAATAAAGGTGATTGATGAAGTGTTAGAAAAGGTACCATTTTGGCCAGGAATTATGAAATCGTAGTAAAATTCCATCTTATTTTTGAATGCATCTGCGATACTCACAGCCAATGAATTTTGTTTTGCAGTCTGTGCGGACGGTTTCTATGGTCCAGATTGTGAGAAAAAATGTGATTGTGACGACAAATACTGTGATCCACAGATCGGATGCTGCGACGAATATGACTCATTCTGTGGTCGCGAAAGTATGCAAATTTCTTTTTTTTAGTACATACGATTGTACGTAACAGAACCGAAAAGCAGGAAGCGGGGAAAGCTTGATCCTTTCTTGCTTCAACTAAAAACGTCAAATTCGTTATGAAAAGCACGGGGCACGGGTCCGCGGAGTTAAATCCAGGAAAAAAGCGAATAAAAGTTGCAGAAGCAATTTAAAAAGAACATACCCATATTCTCCGCATTAATAAATCTGTTTTGAACGTCTTTTTTTAAAGTGTGCAATTGGGTAGTGTCACGAATGAAGCCTCTTCTAAATGAGTATGGATTTGGGATTGGGAGAGAGAATCGAGCACTCGTCTTCACATCCGAATGTGCTAAATACCTATACTTCTGGCCCCTGTGATTACTGCGCATGTTTTAACTTACACCAACTCAATTCATGTTGGCTTTTCATGGAGTTTTCCCTGACAAATACTACACTTTGCGCAAAATATTGAAAGTTTGTAAAACAAAAATCTGGGCCAGTCACAAAGGTGGCCAATATTCAAGGATAGAATTCATTTTTTGTCGGAAGCTGAGCAGAGCACTGACAGCCATTTTTACGTTTCCCCGCCGCCCCCTCAATATTAGTATCTCATCCTCAAAAATATACAAACATTTCAAATTCAGTGCTGTTCTTTGAACTCATCTAGCCCGTGCTATCACATTACGAAAGTTTTTTTTTTTTCAGGATTGGCCATTCAAAAATTGGAAAAATTTAACACGACCTTCATGTCTGTTAGCATTTTCGCAATAGTCGTTGTTGTTATGGCCGTTTTCGTCCTCTACTATCGCCGTAAATATATGAAAGAGCGTGATCCCGTTGTTCCGACCATCTCGTTAGTTTTTTTCATAAATTCATGATCCATTTTAGTTCGTACTTTGCTACTTTGATCAGCTTTTGTCTCATCGTCACATTTATTCTCGACACTGACGCAACTGACTGCTTTTTTTCATATTTATTTTAATTTATACTGATTCAAAACATTGCTCTGAAACACTAGTAAATTAGAAAAATAATAGCACTCACGAAGCCCAATGCACCAGATATTTTCATGATGTAATTTGCGGTCCTGGAAATTTTAACTGAACTTAAAATTTCAGCTATCACTCCGAGAAGAAACCAGACCCACCAAGCGCAACCAGGAATGAATTCAACAATCCGCTTTACCTGCAAGCAGGAGTCCAAAGTGATCAACTATCAAGCAAATCAAAGTCAATCGACCGATTTGATAGACTTCAAAGTATTTTTTTTTTATCAATTACTTATTTGACTCTCACAAATACAGGTATCAACTGCAGACATAGGCGGATCCAGGAGGGTTTCCTGGGGAGCGATTTGAACGATTTCCTTCCCCTTTCCTTCCTCGTCACTACATCAGAGGTCTTGCTACCCACCCCCTCTCCCCCGGTCGCCGCTATGTCCGGTACTTCGTTACTTCCTTCCCCTTCCCCCTCCCTCGCTGGACATCTTTACTGCAGCGACGACGGGGAGGAGGAAGGGGATGGGAATGAAAGTAAGGCTCCCGGGAAGGGGGAGGGGAAGGAGGCGATAGGAGGTATCGAGGAGAGTTTTCTACAGTAAAACAACTGCAACCTATGCCGGTAAGGGAGGGGGCGGAACACCCATCCTTCCCCTCCCTCTCCGGATCCATCAATGACTGCAGATGTGCAGCTTAGGAATGAAGAGCCTGACATAGTAGCTTCCGGAATTGTCCCAGTAACATCACTAACATGGAATCTGCACTGATTCACCAGTCATCTTGGTGACCTTGGTGAGAAGTTTTGCAACTTTCTGCATGAAAATTTTGCGGCAGTGAGGACGGAATGATAAGGAACGACTACTCAAAGGCCGAAACAGAAGTGGACGGTGCAAGTGGAGCGGCCGAAATGGATTAGAATTGACAAGATATTTTCTGCCACCGTTGGTAGGCCGAACCAGAATTTCTGAAATAACGGCCAATCTGAACGGCCAAAATCCTGAAATTCGTTCCCCGAATTTCTTGAGATGCAAAACTGCGAAACTGTGCCATTGGGCTGCACTGAATTTTACATTCTTATAGATGAATATGCAACAATGGATGACATGTACACTGCCACAGCAGTCTCGGCTGGAGCGTCTGACGATGGTCAAAGTAATCATATTGGCCTGAATGGCACTGCTTACTCCAACGGTTCTGCGAGAGGTCAGCATGGGCACTAATAGTTGTATTGCTCAAAAATTCAAAAATTGAATTTTGTTGAGAAGAATAACCGAAAAGTGATAAAGTAGCATCAGGATTAGCAATAGCTGCCTCCCTAGTGCTCTCTTGAAAATAATCAACATTTTCCTCCACTTTATACTCAGTTCCGGTGGGACATTGTCAAAAGCGATCAGTGCTGAAAAAAAAAAAAAAAAAATTATCAGCGATTTCCAAAACTAAGCAAAAATCAAAAATTCCTTCATATTCACTCTTTATAACAGACAAGAGTGTGCTTGAAAATAACCAGAATGGTAGAAAAAATGCTAAAAGTAAAAAAATGTGGGTGATACCCGGTGGTGAAGCTGACGACGGTTTCCTTCTTTGAGGGTTGCTTAGAAACCAGCTAATGACGGAATATCGATAATTTTTAAAAATTTTGATTCCCTCGATAATTACAGTGTTATTGATAAATTTTTGTTATTAAAACGTTAGTGATCAGAATAACAAAAAATATCAAAACATAACACAGTTGGCTTTTCTTTTTCTTGCAAAGTTTGCAGTACATGCTGCAAATTGGTACCGAAAATTTTTTGCTACTTTATCTAATTTGTTTTTATTGCAGGTGCATACGATTACGAGATACCAAACAGCACGTTGAAGACGAAGAAATCCTGAGCAGTACAAAGGCTGAATTTTTCCAGTCAGTGGCCTGTCTAGAATTTAGCAAAAATTGCAATTAGTTTTGCTCTTTGTTCTGTCCTATATCTTCCGGATGTTGTATTTGAATACCTTGAAACGACCATCCGAAAAGGAAGCCATCGATAACTTGCCGAAGCAGACTGGTTGCTGTTGGCATGTGCTACTACTCGAGCTACCTACTCTAGTTTTTAAGCGGGACCGAACTGAGGAAAGGTTTCCTTGGCTTTTTTACCGATTACTCAAATTTGTCCATTTTTTTTGCACCTACGGAATTTTATGCTTTTTAAGCCAGCTTCCCTGGGCTAATCTCGATATTGTTGAGCACCGGGAAACGCAAAGGCTGTATCCTGGGACTTGTTACTGTGCGGAGCGGCCTTCAACTCACATTTGCTCACTTTTTATACTTCAGGCATTCCTAATCCATAAATTATTAACTTCGTCTTAAAAGTGCCTTGCTGTTTTGTAAAAAAGAAACGTTGGGCATGTTTTTTAGGGATTAATTTTGTAGTTTTTTTTTTCGCAGTACAATTTTGCAGTACTTTTAAGAATTGGCACGAAGTATCTATCCCTCATGCTGCTTGTAGCACTTGAACTGGCTTATGAATCGACGGGTAACCAACCACTCAAAGTTTTTTAATCGCAGATTAAATTTTCCACCTATGAATGAATTCAAGATGTCCGAATTTTAAAAATTTAGCTATCTCCCGGTGGTGTCGTTAGCAAAGGGGGTTGAAAACTTCAACGTTTTTCTCGCCTGCACCTTTTCGTGCCTTTTTTATAAACTTTCGATATTTTCACTTTAAAGATCACCCGGACAGTCGGTGTAGTGATCCCATTTTAGTGATTTTACTGGGATGTTCTTAAACGCCTGGCTCAGATATTCTAGACCAGTCCGTATGTCTCCAGTGAGGAGTACCCAATGCTTGTTCGATGTATGTGCGCAACTTCGGAATTCACTAAAGTGGTCATTTTGTTTAGTTCCGTGTATCACTCATTGACAAGTGACATACACCAGTTACCGGTACTTTTTATTTTCTAACTAGCACAACACGGAAGCACTGATTCTTCGGCAGAACCAAGATATTCCTCATTGAATGGATTAATAAAAAAAGGACTTCCCTTCCTATCTCATCCGGAGCCCATAGCAACAGGCATGCTTATTTTTCACATTCGCTGGGAAGCTTGTTTATTTAGGCTATCTAAGAAGGTAACCTGCTTCCTCTGTTTCCTCCGTATCCCAGAAAATCAGCTGCTTCCTCCGTATCCCAGAAAATCAGCTGCTTCCTCCGTATCCCAGAAAATTCCTGGTTTTCGTGACTTTCTTGTGACATTGGGCAATTTTCCCAAATGGCCGCCTGCAGTTCAGGATCGGAAGGCCAGGCGTAGCTGTGCTCGGGAGCATTCCAGTCGCATCATTACATGGGATATCCACTTCGATTGTCCAGGTGATCTTGGTATTTTTGGTATTCTTAGCTGTAACTTATCAGTGTACGTGTAGACATACTGTATTGCCATGTGCTGCCGCGCTAGTTTGTGTTAAAATGCTTTAAATAAATTATTCTTTCTTTTGCTGTACGCTTTTGCGGTAATCCTTGAAAGAAACTACTGGGAATTGTAGTGGGAATGGTGGTTTTTTCACCGTTTTACAGCACCAAAGAACCATCGCTAGTCTTACAAATAGACAGTTGTTTGGAATGTATTAACATATGCTACATTCGTGTGACTTTGTTTCTGAAGTTGGATTCGACATGCTGGGCTTGCTGTGTTTCTGCTTTGAATTTGAACAAATCAGGTCGCATGAATGGTTGTTGCTTCACATTTAATTTGTGCAATCTTCGCCGTGAATTTCACACGAAAGAAAAATGAAAAATTTCCGTTGACTGGTTATTCATTGAAAATGATCTAGCTATTTTGACTTCCGAATTAGCAATTTTCTCGGCAAAACCTTCAAGTGACCGAGCTTATTCGCTGAAAATGACCCAGCTGTTCTAACTTCCAAGTTGGTAGTTTTGTCGGCAAAACTTTCAAGTGCATGTATTTGAGGACCAACAGTGTTTAGGTACTGAATATGGGATCTTTAAATTGTGCAAAATATTTTCCCAGAATTTCAGCTTTCTAGCTTTTTCTGGTCCCCGAGTTAGCAATTTTCCAGCCAAAACTTTCATGTGCTCGTACGTGAGATTCAGATGTGCGTGAAAATTGGTGGCATTTTTCCCGGGATATATATATTTTCGAATTTCAAAAAGTGTGCAAAAAACACACAAAAAAGGGCAGTCCCCCGATTGGGCGACCCCTCACAGATAGTATCTTGTGCTGTTTGCGAAATATCCCTTGGCGGGAAGAGACCAGACGACACTTCCCGCCAAGGGATATTTCGTAACAGCAGAAGGGGGGCATTTGGGGTGAGGGTGGGGGAGAGATACTTGGCGGGAAGGAAGGGTCGGTAAACAAGCAGCTGTCTTCGGGCGCCAAATATTTTTAAATTGTACACGTACACAGGATAGCCAAAGGACACTATCAATGGGAGGCGGGGCGAAGGGGCGGGAACCGTCCAATCAAAAAAACTTCAAAAAATTCACAAAAAGAGGGATGGGACGGGGGACCGTCCAATCAAAAAATTGCCAAAGAGCTCGAGAAAGAGCTAGAAACAAGTAACTTCCGTTCCAGCACAAAAATGTTTTGCCTAAACTTCTTCCATGAAATTTTGAAGATTACCGAGCAATGTAAAAAGAAAATTTTTCTTACTCGCTCCTTGCACCGGAAAAATGTACCTTTGTGTTTAAGTGGAAAGCAAATTAAATTTAGCGCCAATTTTGGGAAAAATAATAGACCAACAGGATTGTACGTAAGCCATGTGTAAGGTGTTATTTTACGGTGCATATTGCCTTTATCTTTTAGATGTAGTGGGGTGATATTACAGATTGAAATAGTAGAATAGAAGGTTTGACAGATTGAAAATTTAACAGATTTAAGTAGTAGAATAGAAGGTTTGGACTTAAGTGTCACATGTAAGAAGACATTTTACGATGCAGTCTGTCTGTATGTGTTTCATCCCTTAGCTGTAAACACAGATCGAACTATGCGTTTTCGTAAATGTAAAACACAGGGGATTATTTTGAATAATTATGACGGGGAAATTGAGTATTTGAAAATTTAGTAAAAAGACATGATGCATAATAATCGGAGAAATAAAGAGAGCCACTGGTCATTATTGAGTGTCGGAAAATTTAAAACACATAAAGCCTCATAAAATCTGAGAAACAAAAATAGCCATTGGTCACTTTCTAAGTATTCAAGCCAGTACAGATCATTGTTTTCAAAAACTGCAAAAAATGTCCTAAAGCAACTCAAGTCTCTGTTTGTGAGACTACAGCCAATTTTGTTAAGAATTCTCTATAAAATTCCCCAGCACCACAATTTTTCAGAATTTCCATTTACCGCAAAAAAAAAGTCCAGGTTGTTTTACTCACTCAAACACTCAGTGCTGCAAATAAACCGGTTTTTTAGGTAAATTTGTTGATTGCGTTTGTCTAAAAAAGTGGAGCATGGTGGAGGAGAAATGGAACTGGGATGTTTTTTTTTTTTTTT